GGAATGTAAATTAGTACAGGCACCTTGGAGAGCAGTATGTAGGTTCCTCAGAAAACGAAACATAGAACTACCACGTGATCCAGAAATTCTACTACTGTGGGTATATCCAAAAGAAAAAGTCAGTCTATAGAAGAGATTCCTGTATTTCCATGTTTATTACAGCACTGTCTACAATAGGCAAAATATGGAATCAACCTAAGTGCCACTAAATGAACGAATTGATAAAGAAAACATGGTATATATTCACCAGGGAATGTTATTCAGCCATTAAAGAGAATGAAATCCTGCCATTTGCAGTGATGTGGATGGAACTAGAGGTCATAATGTTCAGGGAAATAAGCCAGGTACAGAAAGGCAAATATCACATGTTGTCACTACATGGAGCTAAAAAGGTAGATCTCATAAGGTAGAGAGCAGACTGGAGGTTGTCAGAGACTGCAGAGGTTGTAGGGGGGGTGAAGAGAGGTTGATGAATAGGTACAAATATACAGTTAGATAAAAGGAATAAAATCTAGGGTTTGATAGATTAGTAGGGTGAATATAGTTTTCAACATTCGAAATTGGATATTTCAGAATAGCCAAAAGAGAATAATCCAATGTTTCTAGTATAAAGAAAAGGCCACTATTTAAGGTGATCAATGTCACTGCTACAGTGATTTGATCTTTACAAATCATGATTGTAATAAATTATCAAATGTACCCTGAAAATATATACACCTATTGTGTATTAATTTAAAAAAAAAACAGAAAACATGCAGATATATAGATGAGATTTGACACCCAGGTGAGAAGGAAGCCATGTGACCTCAGAAGCAAAGACTGGAGAGGTGGGACACAGTGGCCAGCAGCCACCTGGGGCTGGGACAGGTGGACTCATCCAGGAGGTAGGAGTGTCCAAGGAGGAACTGAGGCTGAAGGAAGGGAGGGAGGGAGGGAGGGAGGCTGAGGTGGAGGGAGGAACACTGCAGAGGGTCCAAATGCCCTACAGGAGGTAAGGGAGCCACCGGGTTGGAAGGGTCCCTGCGGGGTGGGATCAGAGAGGAGCAGGCCAGGAGGCCTGAGGAAACTGAGGCCAGACTGTGCTGGCTTTGCAGGCTGACAGGTGCTTCCCTCCCAGGGCTTGGGGGCTGCCAGGACCCCAGGGGCCCAGTGCACAGCTCCCTAGCTAGGGCTGCAGGAGGTGGCTATTGAGGGGGGGAAGGAGGACCCAGATGGACTCTGATGGGCTTATGGGCTGGCGAGGGCCATGGCTAATTGGCAGCATGGGCAACTGTGCCAACAGGGCAGGTAATTGGACCCCAGGGCCCTGCTCTCCAACAGGAAAAGCTCTTTCTCCCTGGGCTTTGGGGGCCACTCCTCAAGTGTGGTTCAAGGCACTTCTGGTGACCGTGGCCAGCCTGGGAGTTGCTGGACACAGGGAGAAGCCGCTCTGGACTCCTAGGGCAGATGCAGCTGTCAGTTCCTGGTGAGGCATCCAGACCCTCAGGTAGGACCCAGCACGTTCCCTCCCTGATAACCACTCATTTTACTGAGGCTTTAGGGTACACTGTACCCCTTGTACCATGGCAGGACCATGTGTGTGTACATGTGATCAGCACCTGCACTGCGTGTGTTCCCCACACCCAGCCTGAGGCAGGGATTACCCTCTAGTCTGAACAGCAGCACCCAGCACAATGGCTGGGGTGCTCCATAAGTGGCCCTCATATCTTTGAGTACTGTTCTGAGTATGTGTCTGTGGGTACTGTGAGTACACGTCTGTGGGTGCTGTGTGAGTATATGTCTGTGGGTGCTGTGCTGAGTATGTGTCTGTGGGTGCTTTTTGAGTACATGTCTGTGGGTACTGTGTTGAGTATGTGTCCATGGGTACCATGCTGAGTACATGTCTGTGAGTACTGTGTGAGTATGTGTGTGTGGGTACTGTGTGAGTACATGTCTGTGGGTGCCGTGCTGAGTATGTGTCTGTGGGTACCGTGTTGAGTATGTGTCTATGGGTACTGTGCAGAGTCATGTTTGTGGGTACTGTGTGAGTATGCGTCTGTGGGTACTGTTGAGTATACATCTATGGGTGCCATGCTGAGTTCATGTCTGTGGGTGCTGTATTGAGTATGTGACCATGGGTACTGTGTTGAGTATATATCTGTGGGTACTGTTGAGTACACATCTGTGGGTGCCGTGCTGAGTACATCTCTGTGGGTACTGTGCTGAGTATGATCTGTGAGTATGCATCATGTAAGAGTACATACCATCTTTCCCCAAATGTAAGACACTGTCTTATATTTATTTTTTCTCAAGAATACACACTAGGGCTTATTTTCAGGGGATGTCTTCTTCTCCATACGGAAATGCATGGCGAGGCTATGCAGCATATCTGTGGCTGCATATTAGATATGCTACATAGCCTCACCCATCACTAGGTCTTATTATTGGGGTACAACTTATATTTAACAAATGCATAGAAATCCTGCTACGGCTTATTTTGTGTGTAGGTCTTATTTGGGGGGAAACATGGCACCTACCAGTACTATGCTGCATCCTAATGTGTGACAACGCACCCAACCTTGGCCAACAGCACCAGGTGGACTGAGCAGAGCAGAGGACAGAGACTACCCCACCATAGCCCAGATGCAGGTCTGGGCAGTTCTGCTGGGTACCAGGGAAGGTGTCAGGGCAAGAGGCTGCAGGCTGATCGTGGGTGCAGGGCTGGGGGAGAGGCCACCGCAGTACCCCTCACAGACCGTCCAGACACATCCATTCTGAGCTAAGGGAATCTTCACTTGCCCAGGGTTTTCTTAAAGTGCCTGAGTTTGGATTTGTGGACCAGGCAAAAATTCTCTTTTTATCCCTTTGAGAGCTGTTCACCGTGAGTGGACTCTGGACTTCCTCCTCAGCGTCCAGTTGGCCTTTCAGGTCTGCGCAGAGACCAGGGAGGTGCAGCAAAGTTAAAAGTAAGGCCATCTCCACAGCAACACAGGCCCTTAGAACAGAAGGAGGACAGGAGAGGGAAAAGATGACATCTGAGCAAAACTGAAGTTCAGTTCTTAGTGATGTACCCAGGTCAGCCCGGGCTGACAAACAGCCCCACTCACAGAAGACGTTTGCCTCAGGGAAAGTCCAAGGGGCTCAAGAACCTCTGCATTTTCCTTTCAGCTTTTCCAAAAGTCTAAAATTATTCAAAGTTAAAAGTTTATTTAAAAGACGGTACAGCCACTGTCTAGAGTTCAGGTGACAGAGCTGCAAGGGCCTGAATCTGTAAATGAAGACCCTTTTATTTAACTGGCCAGCTCAGGAGTGGTCACTTCCCCTGTCCAAAAAATC